TACCAAGGATAGCCAAATTATGGGAAGAGCCCAAATGCCCATCAACTGATGAATGGATAAAGATGTGGTATATATATTATATACACAACAGAATATTATTCAGCCACAAAAAAAGAATGAAATCTTGCCATCTGCAACAACATGAATGGAGCTAGAGAGTATTATGCTAAGTGAAATAAGTCAGAGAAAGACAAATACCACTTGATATTCATATGTGGAATTTAAGAAACAAGACAAATTATAGGGGGAAAAAGAGAGAGATGAAAACCAAGAAGCTGACTCTTAACCACAGAGAACAAACTGATGGCTACCAGAGGGGAGGGGAGTGGGGGGGATGGGTGAAATAGGTGATGGGAATTAAGGAGGGCACTTGTGATGAGCCCCGGGTGTTTTAAGGAAGTGCTGAATCACTAAATTCTACACCTGAAATATTACACTGTATGTTAACTGGAATTTAAATTAAAAATAAATAAAATAATTAAATAAATAAAAATAAAAGCTTTATTGAAATGTAATACATATACAAGTCATCTATGGTTTGTATGTTCTCAGTGTTGTGCAATCACCAGCACAATCAATTTTAGGACACTCGCATCACTCTAATAAGAAATCATGTACCCATTAGCAGTTACTTCAATACTCCCCTCCAGCTCTTAGCAACCACTAATCTACTTCCTGTCTCACAGATTTGCCAGTTCTGTACATTTCACATAGATGGACTCATGCAATATGTAGTCCACTGTGACTGCTTCTTTCTCTTAGCGTAATGTTCTCAAAGTTTACCCATACTGTAACATGTATAAGTGCTTCATTTGTTTTTATGGCCAAATACTATTTCATTGTATGAATATACCACATTTTGTTTATCCATTCATTAGTTGATGGGGCATTTTTGGCTATTATGAATAATGCTGCTATGAGCAAGTTTTTTTGTAGACATCTGTTTTTTCCCACCTCCTTCCCAATACTTGCGATTTTCTTTTTGATTATAACTATATTAGAGTATGAAGTGGTTATTTCATGGTGGTTAATTTGTTAGACCTTGCCTTGTTTTCAAAAATGATTTCATTATACTTACAGTGATAAATATAGTACATGTATTGTTTTTTTTAAAGCATTTTTTGAAAGATTTACTTATTTATTTGAGAGAGAGCATGAGTGGGGTGAGGAGCTGCAGGGCAGAGGGAGCAGCAGACTCCCTGATGAGCAAGGAGCCCGATGCAGGACTCAATCCCAGGACCCTGGGATCATGACCTGAGCCGAAGGCAGACGCTTGACTGAGCCACCCATGCGCCCCAGGTCATGATTCTCTTGAGATAAAAATATTTCAGTAACTCTGGGGTGCCTGGATGGCTCAGTGGTTAAGCTTCTGCCTTCGGCTCAGGTCATGATCTCAGGGTCCTGGGATCAAGCCCCATGTCAGGCTCCCTGCTCAGCAGAGAGTCTGCTTCTCCCTCTCCCTCTGCTTGCTGTTCCCCCTGCTTGTGTTCCCTCTCGCTCTCTCACTTGCTCACTCGCTAATAAATAAATAAAATCTTTAAAAAAAATTTCAGTAACTCCTGAGTTCAGTTTTTCATGGATTTAAGAGGATGAAAAGGAGAGCCACGATCCAAATCACAATAAAATTAAAATGGCATAAATTTCAAACTCCTAGGCCTCAAACTGCATGGAACAAAGTATGGCATTTATACCAATAGCTTTTCAAACTTCTTGGATGGCAACCTATACATAGGAAGAAATTTTTTTTTCACAGTAAGAAATTTTAAATCGTACTCAGTAAATACACACATGCACAAAAAAACAAGTATTTTGAGAAACACTACTTAAACTTACTGAAAACATATATTTGAAAAAATTAAAAAAAAGAAGAAAGCAAAAGCAAAACAACTTTGCTGGTTCCACATCACTAAGTTGTGTTATACTTGCAATGTGAAAAACACTGACTTAGCCTATAGAAAGGGGAAGAATAAATAAATGCATGATAACGAGTTAAATCATGACTAAAATTTCCAAATGTTCTACAGAAATAGTTCCAATGTCCAATGGGGCATTTTGTGGAGAGATTGATTTAGTATATGTGCTGCCGAAGCAAGCACTGTGGAGAGATTGATTTAGAACTTCAACACTGAAAGTGAAATATAACTCCTTGAACAAAATTTGAATGCAAAACACGGAAGTCTGACATTTACTGGATCTCAGTGCCTGATAGAAGAACATTTCAATGGTCTTTCTATAGTTCAATGACATGTTTTTTCACCGGGAAAGATATTACATATGGGATTATTTGTTTAGACAGAAAGGGATTCTACTGGCTCCTTCCAAACACAAATTATATATTAAAATCCATTTTGTTATATTATTTGATAGAGTATATAACCAAAATATGGACAAATTAAAATCTACAACATGTCCATGGAGTGGCATTTCCTAATTTTTTTTGAGACTGGCAAACTTCTATTACAGTATAGAAAAACACTCCTGAGGTATTAAAAATTTCATTTTATCCATTTTATATGGTTATACAGTAAAGTGATTTTGAAATAAGATAAAGCACGATTTACTAAGAAATTCAGAATTACATAACATGTCCTAAAACGTGGCTTGAAATGTAATTACCACTTTAAAAAAGAAATGTAATTACCAGATGTAATATGAAAACAGACTGAATGGAGCTTTTATAACCTGGCAATTCTTCTATTTAAAAAAAAAAAAAATCCTGACTGATTTATTTTCCCAATTTCTGTGTTTTATGTCACAACAGTAAGAGATGACTTCAGTTTATCACATTGCTATTATATCATCTTTTTAAAATATTGTATCTTGAAATAGTAGAAGTAGCTTAACATGCTTTCAAGAATAAATTTTGATCATGTGAATACAATTTATAAATCAAGTGAAGATCAGTTTTGATGTAAATTTGAAGAATTATAATTTTTATGCTCTTTGTGACCATTGTAATTCAGCATATGCTCCTTCTGATTCCTCTTCTGCAACCTATATATAGAAGATGAAATTAAAGAATAAAGGATCAAAATAAAAACCTGAACTGCATATGGCCAAAATGACCATGGTGGCTAACAAGATTTGGCTGCGTTACAGGTACCCTAAATCTTACGAGGCAGCATCACTCAATTCATGAGTTGAAAGCTCTCCAATGGTTCAACAACTTTATAATTATTTTTAAAATAATGACAAAATTAAAAAATTAATAACTGAAACAAGAAATTGACACAGATGCCATTCTGGCTTTTACGATAAAACCTCCTGGAATCCTTACTGGGAAGAACACACATAAAACAAACTGTGAATAAGCCCTCAGTAGAGTGCCTTCAAAATGGGCAATATCTGTGTTTGGGAGAAGGTCGACACTGGCTCAAATGGGCTTGGAGATTCTCATGCTCACAGCAATCTACTTAACTTCCACCATAGCCTCTGCATGTAATTACCTTCTGTTTTTCTAAACCATTTTTTAAAATCATCAATTTCTATCTTACCATGACTATTCCTTTTTTTTGTTTTGTTTTGGTATCTATTTCTATCTTCATTACTCCTCGTCTGTCATTAAATTATCATTCCCAAAGTCACATTTTCATTTTGGTTTTGTTTACAAAGAGAATTTGAACAATTAAAATGCATGTATTTAGGGAGGTGATTTACGCACTAGTTACATACACAGACATGTACACACATGCCTTCAGACAGGCATTTGTCTCCCTTTATGTACTAGACTGCTACTTTCCTGTCTCTGCAGCTTTATGTGGAATCTAGTAGATAACAAGGGCAGGGATTCCTGGGTTAGTATAGGTAGTATAGGTAATCTACAAAGCAGATGCTCTGCCATAGATAATTAAGGATAATTTACAATGTTATAATTAAGTGAGAAGGCTCTGGTAAGACTCTTTAGGTACAACCATAGAAACAGAATATGGCTGGTCTTCATGGAGTCCAAAAAGGACTTACTCAGAAAAAATCTTAGTGGTGATTTTATAAGCAGGACAAATAAAAGAGAAAGATTTCATACATGGTTTTTATAATTAAAAATTATTCTTTCTCAATATGTTCCAGATGATACGTTTTCTTAAATTTAGATATAAATGACATATAACATTAGTTTCATGTATACAACATAATGATTTATTATTGGTATATATCACAAAATGATCACCATAGTAAACCTAGTTAATAGCCATCACCATACATATAAATTCTTTTTCTTGTGATGAAAACTGAGAAGATCTTTTCTCTCAGCAACTTTCAAATATATAATAATTATTAACCACAGTCCCCAGGCTGTACATTATTATATTGCTAGGACCAATTTATTTTATAGCTGAGAGCTTGTACTTTATAACACCCCAGATGATATTTTCAAATGTTGTCTCCATGCATTTTTATCATATATGGACTATTACGCCAAACGACATCATTACTGCTGAGCTATCTGAAGAAACCGGAAATGCTTAACACATGAAGAAGCCTAACTTTTTTTTTTTTTTTTTTAATAATCTTAGGTATATCCTTTCTCCATTTACTAGAGGTAACTTGAGGAGAATTTTTAAAACTTAATGTCCTGCATATATTTTTTTTTAAGGTTTTTTTTTTGTTTTTTTTTTAAAGATTTATTTATTTTTTTGAGAGAGTGAGAATGAGAGAGAGAGAGTACATGAGAGCGGGGAGGGTTAGAGGGAGAAGCAGGCCGCTCGCCGAGCAGGGAGCCCGATGCGGGACTCGATCCCGGGACTCCAGGATCATGACCTGAGCCGAAGGCAGTTGCTTAACCAACTGAGCCACCCAGGCGCCCTGTCCTGCATATATTTTGGCATCAAAAGACTACATGTTAAATACAGTTGGAAGTATTCGGGCAACTTTAAGAAACATGAAATATCTTTTTCTTAATGGTTACTGGATTAACTGTATTAATAGAATTACTTCTCCTGGAAGATTAGACTTTCATTTTAAATATGAACTACAAATAAGTTTAAATAAGAACTTTTACATACGTTAGGGTTGTTTCCATTCTCGAGACTTGTTCGAGGTCTTCATGAGGGTCCTTAAATCCAGTAAAGTAGTAATAAGATTTGTCCCACTTGATGGGCCTGTCAGACATCCTTGTAGCCTCCTTGAGAGGCTGGGAACGCACATTAGTATTCAAGCTTTGGATATGTTCAATAGATAAACTGCAGGAGTTGAGAATATACAATACTGTGCTTAGCAGATCTCTGGTGTGCAAAGTAAATTTGACTGCTCGAAATCCTAGAGAATGTAATTCCCCAAAACAATTAATACAGATGATTATTCACTTTATTTAAAAACACTTTTTCATGCAACATAAAAATCTTTTAAAAACATTTCATTACTGATTAAAATCTATCCTACTGGCAAATAATCTGTAAACAGAAAACTACTTCCCTTCTCCAAAACTATACCACAGTATCTTTACCTTCGTATTTCCTCGGTCAGTTCCCTGTCTAGTTTGGCACCAGAGACCAAACCCATTCCAGCCAAAGGAGGGGATTCAGAATATTCCCAATGCTGCCCATAAATTTGTTCTTGACAGTCTGAGAGATGGAAAAGCTCTCCTCTGAGCAAGTGTCCATGAAAGACAGTTTCTGGCACTCAGACAAAGGGGCAGAGGAGGGACAGGGAGGTTGTACTGTGACAGTGGTTCAGACGGGAGCAGCCAGATAGTCTAGTCTCAGGGGCGACACAAACCCATCTCGAATGTTCTCTGTGATTACAGGAGATTGTCTTCACACTTGTCCGCCCAACTACCTAGTAACTCAATATTTTTGGAAGGGATGTGAAATTCCCTAATTGTTTAAGTTAGTGCTTTACCATCTGATTTTGATTTGGGGTAGTCAGTGGGCTAATGTTAGTAATCTAACTTGTTACATCCTCAACAGGAAATCTACTGTTTTCTTTTTTTCTCTTCATTGCTGGGTGTTAGGCATGGTTCTAGCTGAATTTATGTTACTTCTCAACACCCCACCAACCATGTGATTATTCTCTCACTGCAAATGTGAAGAAATCCGGCTCAAGGAGGTTAGGAAGAATGCAGAGCAAGGGCTTAAATCTGAGTTGACTCCAAGCCCAGTACTTTCTCCATTACAGCATGCTGATTCTTTCTTCATTTTTAAAAAAGTATTTTTAATTGGTTTTGAAAATTATAACATTATTATATAAGTACATTCTCACTATGAAATTAGAGATATATACAGTAAAAATAGAAGTCTCCTGTTAACAGGCATACAACCTCACATCTTTACTAGACATAACCACTATTAACAGTTAGGTACCTATGCTTTTAGACCTGCCCTATCTCCTATGGTAGCTATTAGCCCTATGTGGTGGTTTAGAATTAAATTAATTAAAATTAAACAAAATTCAGTTTCTGGTCAGGCTAACAACATTTCAAGTGCTCAACAGTCACATGGGGCTTGTGCCTGCTATATTAGTGCAAATGCAAAACATTTATATCATCACAGAAAGTTCTCTTGTACAGGACTGCTCTAGACCTTTTCTATGGGCTTATGTATGTACATTACATATGATATATACCCCTATTTATTTACACAAATACACACCTACAGTTTAAATTGTTTCCTTTTAATATATAAATAGTATCATTGTAGACATATTACTTTGAACTTGATTTTGTTACTTAAACTTGGGGACTCTTCCATGTCTGTATGTATGGATCAACCCACTCTTTATAGCGGTTATATATATATATATACCAGTCCATATAATGAAGGTAATGAAACATAATTTATTTGACATTTCTGAAACTAACGGACATAAAAGTTTTTTTCACTTTTCATATAAGGCTGAAATGTATTTTCTTGTCTTTGCCACTGATGACAGATACCACAATTTAAATAATTCTCAAGAGATACATACTCTGCTTGCCACACAGAGTTAAGGAATCTAGAACATGCAAACTAAGAAAGTTTTCTTAGTTGAATTCTTTGAATCATTTGATGATAAAGTGAGAAATACTGGCTAGAGAGTTATTCTAGTTAGTGAAAGAAGAAAGGAAAATCCTAATTCCTGTGTTTGAGGTTAGCAAGAGCTCAGTCAAGAATAAATCTGTTTCTATCTTATCAATCCCATTAATTATTTAATCAAATGTAAGGGCTAAGGAATGCATATATGCTTTATTGGAAAACAGTATCTAATTAGTTTAGTTTGGATTTGACTACTGAAACTAAACATTTTAATGTTTGTTGGCTATTGGTATATATTGTTTCCTGAACTGTCTAGCCATTGTCTTTGCCCATTTTTGTAACGGAGCTACTTTGTGTTTTCCTTTTGGTTTCCAAGAGGTCTTTATACATTATCTTTTTATCATATATGCTGTATGTTATTTCCCATTTTGAATTTATTTTTTTCTAAATCCATTTTTGTTTAATGAATGGCTCAAAGTTTACCATTAACCATTACTCAGTCACAGCTGCCTACAGCTACTTGTTTTAGCATTAACTCATAGAAAGCTCCTAGTGAATCTTCCACTTGTTTTAAGGAAGTTTATTTCCTCATAGACCACCAAAAATGTAGAGCTGAAGAAGCAATTTTAGCCTTTAATTTTAGTAATGAAAATCAGTAGTAAACATTTTACCTTACAACCATCTTATCAATGATCTTAATTTTATAATCAGATAAAGAGGATAAAGACATAATTCTAGGAAAACAATCAATTAAGTGATATTTTTTTACGACCAAGGCTTCAATCCAAAGGTATTCTGGCAATGGCAGACTTAATGAACATATTTATCACGTAGCTTGCAAGGGAAACACTAGAAATAAGAAAACATACCGGAAGTGCTAAAGGGTTCCTGGCCTTCAGAGGAATTCTGCTCTGTTTCTCTTACATAAAATGTAAGCTGAGTTGGTTTCAAAGACTTGAAGCCTGGTTTCTGGAGGTTTTCTAAGTAGACACTTAATCTCTTAAGAGAATTTTCATTGACTTCCTGGAAAAAAAACATCAAGAGGCATTTACACACAAAATAGAACAAGAAAACAACAGAAATTTTATCCTGACCTTTAAACATATTATTGAGGGTACTAAATAATTTAGTATTAAAAACGGGATTCCATAGCTGTTTGATTAAGAATAAAATTGGATCCACATTCTTAAAACATGTAACAGAACAAACTCCTTATGGCTAAGATGTGAAAAAATGTAACTATGTAAGTATTAGAAGAGAACATGTTGAACTCCTTTATAACTTTGGTGTGGAAAAAGCTAACTTTAACTAAATATCTCTAATACATGATTGACAATACATGATTGGTAAGTCCACTTACGTAAAAAAATTAAAAACTAAAAAAAAAAAGCACACAAGAAACCACACATACACACACAATAAGCAGTTTACAGATAAATAAGCTACTGGGAGAAAATGTTTGCAAGTTATTTCTCTCTATAAAGGGCTCTTAAAATGACCATCCTGAGACTGGTTGAATTATAGTACATTCATTCAATGGAGTACTATATAACCAAAAAGAAAAGAGAGAAAGAATGTGGTACAGATATCTAGGAATTGACATGGAGTTATTTCCAAGGTTGTTAAGTGAAAAAAAGAAACACCCTTTAGTGAAGGAATAGGTCTACAGAATGGATAAATAGTAACCATGTTTCCTATCACTGTAGGTTTCTTCTCAGACACACTGTGTGATCTGAAATTAGGAACAATCAGTTTATTTTTGTCTGTTGAACTGATTGTAATATGTTGTTCTTCTGTTCTTCGCTACCATAGTTCAGTGGGCAGCTGAGGTACATTTCCTGCTAGTGTAAGACTAAATCTTCGTAATTCTGTTTTGCCACAGGTTTCTATTTTTGCCAAAAAGAAACAGCACCCAGAAACTAATAAAAATGGTTATATACAGGAAGTTATACCAATGGGGTAAAAGAAATGGAGACAGGAGTGACTTCTGAGTAAACTTTGTATTTAGTTTTGATTTTTGAAACCTAGAAATGTTTTCTGTACTGAGTTAAAATGAAGAGGATTAACAACAATAGCTGTGCTTCACTTTGAGACCCTGGCCTGTTGCTGACTAGATAGCACTTTCCGTCTGTTTCTTTAGAAAAGGGACAAGGGTGTCCCATACAAATGCAGAGAAGACTGGACTGAACATGAGGTGCCAGGAAGGGTGAACTGCCTTCGCAGAGCCTGCACTTTGGCGACAGTATGTCTAATATGGGAGGGAAAGAGAAACAGTACTGCAGGATGTGGGGGACAGAGAGTGCTGGGAAGGAAGGTAGGGTGACAGTTTCAAATAGGGCAATCTGGGAGAGCCTCATGAAAGGTGACACTTAAACAAGAAAGGAAAGGACAAGCCATATCTATGTGACCGACACCCCATAAAAACCCGGAAACCATGGCTTGGCACAGAGTAGGCACTCAAACACAAGTTGAAAGAGTAAATGAAAATACAGCTGACTTCTGAACAACATGGGTTTGAATTTCACGGGCCCACTTATATGTGGATTTTTTTTTTTATAAATATAGCACTGTAAATGTCTTTTTTCTTCGTTATGATTTCTTAATAACATTTTCTATTCTCTAGCTTATTTTATTGTAAAAACACAGAATATAATATATATAACATGCAGAATATGTGTTAACTATTTACATTATTGATAAGTAAGGCTTCTGGTCAACAGTAGGCTATTAGTAATTAAGTTTTGGGGAAGTCAAAGGTTATACACAGATTTTCGAATGTGCAGGGGGTCAGTGCCCCAACCCTGGCACTGTTCAAGGGTCAGCTATATTAATTTACTAGAACAATTACATTTCAGGCATATTGTGTTGGAGCTCTCCATGATCACTCTCGGGTTCAATTTGATAGAGGGATTTACAGAACTCAGAAAAACTTATACTCACGGTTATGGTTTATTACAGCAAAAGGATACAGATTAAAATCAGCAAAGGGAAAAGGCATGTAGGATAGAGTCCAGGAGAGGCCAGGTGCAAGGTTCCAGTTGTCCTCTCCCAGTGGATTTGCAGGGCTAGCACTTAACCCCAGCAACAATGTGTGACAATGCATGAGAAGTGTTGCCAACTGCGGAAGCCCATCCAAGCCCTGGTGTCGGAGCATTTTACTGGGCTCGCTCATGCACATATGTAGCGCCCAAGTGACTGACCTTAGCTCTTCAAATAGTCTCCAGCACACCCAGAGGGCCTCAGACATATGAAAACAGGCATTCACCAAAAATCACATAGCATAAAATATCTGGCATGGCCTGAGACCTCACACATATAAAAGATTCCCATGAGGCAGGATATTCTAAGGGCTCAGAGCTTATCTCCCAGGAGGCAGTCAAGGGCCAATACCAAAGCCAGCCATTTCTCTGGAATGTAGAGTTTAAGTAACCCATGCCTGCTGAGTTCACTTTTTAGAGCACACAGAAGTTTTAATTAAAAAAAAAAAGATACATTGGTAGAGGAGGAAAAACATTCATCTACTACTAGGCATAATTTTTCCATACTAGGCATAATTTTTCCAGTTGGGTTTAAAAACTTTAAATAATTAACATCCTCAGAGTAATGGATATTTTTCTGTTGATTCATTTTACTAATTACTTAGAAAAGATCTGACTTTTAATAGCCAACATATATATCAAAAATCACAATCAGAATATTTTCCTAGAGCAAAGAAGCAAAATTAATTTTTTTCCACTGCAAGTAGAAAAAAATTATATAATAATGTTCTGAATTTTCCAGAGTTCTAAATTCCTTTTCATGTTAAACCAGGTATTAATGTTAAAGAAGATAAACAGAACCAATGAAATAATACTGAGTGCCCTAAGTTTACTATAAGTTACTCTTCATCCCTGTCTGCATTCCTTGAGCACACAGTAACTGAGGTTGTAGGGAAGTGAACCAGCAGCATGCAACAGAAGGGAAAACCATTCAGGGCACTGAAAAACTTTCCTTGTAACTATCCTTAAAAAAAGAGATTGACCATGGTGACAAAGCCTGAAATTTTCTTTCGAACACTCAATTTTACTCTAAAAACTGGTTCAGAAAACATTACTACTAATACTTTAAAGAGTCTCCACGACAGCTTTATTGCCTTCATAAAAAATGACAGATTTCATACAGAGGAAAAGCCCAGTCTATCTCCTGTGTGCCTCCTGTATATTCACACAAAACACTTGACTTCTGACACTTGTGGTCACCAAATGAGCGGAGGTTTTCCCCCACAATAAGCAATTCTCTGTGACACCAGCTGGGTGTCCTACTATTTAACTCAATTCTGACATTATGTATCCAGAGACAGCATCAGATCCCACAGGTTAAGGGCTCAGTTCCCCAAGACTGTCATCTCCCTCTGCCACGCCACCCCCATATACATACTTCAGATGCCAGTCACACCTGTTATCACTTACACTTTTGACCAACCAGCGATTTGCAGCTACCCCCTCCTTAGATTCTATTAATTTGCTAGAGCAGCTCACAGAACTCAGGGAAAAACTTAACTTATGTTTACCATATTTAAGGATATAATAAAGGATGCAGATAAACAGCCAGCTGAAGAGAGACACAGGGTCCCAAGTGCAGGAGCTTTTGTCCCCATAGAGTTTGGGAGCACTACCCTCCAGTGTAGATGTGTCTGCCCAACTGGAAGGTGTCTGAACCCCATACTCCTAGAATTTTATGGAGGTTTCCTCATGTAGGCATGATCAATTATGAACTCTATTTCCAGCCCTTTCCCCGTCTCTGGAGTTTGAGGGTTGGGGTTGAAAACTCCAAGCTTCTAATCATGCCTTGGTCTTTCTGGTGACCAGCTCCCATGTAGGAGCCACCCACAGTCACCACATTGGAACAAAAGATGCTCCTGGTGCTGCTACCATTTAGGGATTTACAAGGGTTTTAGGAGTCAGGTGTCAGGGATGGGGTCAAAGACCAAAGAACAGAACAAGAGATGCTTCTAGTGCTCTTCTCACTTAGGAAGTTACAAGGGTGTCAGGAGGTCTATGCCAGGAACTGGGGGCAGAGCCCAATGTATACATTTTCCACTCCCTCAGATCTCATAAGACAACAATAATTAGATTTTCAATTCTCAGTATGTATATTCCAAAGTAATTCAGAACACTGACTTTATCACTATGACAGAACAATCCAAATTTACAGAACTTTGTATTATATTGTGTCGAAAATTAGTAAAACTTCAGTTTATGAAATGGGGACTAATTAAATAAACAAAAGTTTACCCTTTCTCTGGGGTGCTGTCCAAAGAAATCTGGATGTACTGCAAAATAGAATGGCCTCAAGGCATTGACTGCTTCAGCTCCTGATAAAGCTCTTGAGGAGAGAAACCAGTGTGGAAATATCTTCTCTAGACATGACCTTTTAAAAAGATGTGGATTTATTATTCACCAAGGCACTGACACACACACAGATCCCCAATGCATAAAGTGACAATATAATAACATTAAAATTATTATGTATGGAAAATACCATAGAAACAAGACAGAAATCAAAACTGTGGTTTTCTGAAATCTATAAAAGTTTTAACAAGCAATGTCCAATTATGAAATAAATAAGTTGTGGGGATGTAATGTATAGCATAGGGAATACAGTCCATAATATTGTAATAACTGTGTATGGTGACAGATGGTAACTAAACTTATCATGGGGATCATTTAATAATGTATAAAAATATTGGATCTTTATGATGTACACCTGAAACTAATAGGATGTTGTATGTCAATTATACTTCAATTAAAAAGAATTTAACAAATAAATAAGAAATATATTAGAGTTTTAACAGAGAGTGCCATGTTGTTTCTAAAAACAGTGGTTATAAATTCCTCTGATGCAATATGAGAAAATAATATTAATTAATAATAATAAAATTTCCCCTCAAAGCCTACTTTGAAATGTTAACTGGCTTTACTGCAGATGGTGACAATTTCCTGTGTCATTTTTTTCTTCAGATAAAAAACCCTCAATACCCATAGTGTAATCTTTTCTTTATAGTGAAAAATATTTTGAGTACAATGCTTAAAAGAAGATACAAGATGCCTCTTAGTTTACTTCCTCATGGCTGGCATGCTAAAATTACCCTCGTTGGGTAACTTGACATTCTTATTCTTAAATTTTGGCATAACTCACCTAGGAGTGTTTTTTTACCATACAGTTTTAAATCCAAATGGAATTATTTGCAATTTTTGGGAAGCACTTTCATGACACATCAATTTTTGGAACGTTATAATTTTACCTCCATTCTATAATAGTCTATAAAGAAGTCTAACTATTAGGCACCTTTTTGTCTCATACGTTAGCTCATACAATATTAAGTACAAGTGTCTCTCATACATTATTGAGTCTATGGAAGGGTTTTATATTTTTAAAATGACAGAGATTACAGGATCATTTACAGAGATTTTTTAACAATCTGGAGACCACCACCAATATATTTTCAGATTAGATTACCTTTTTTTTCTGCACGTACTTGAACCTTTTACAAAGTCAATATACAAGGTTGTGCATGAAGGACTACAACAAGGAGTCTGAACAATAAAGTAAGCAGTAAGCCAGGTCCTGACGTCCTCAATATGAGGCTGTGTAAGCAAATAGTGGCAGGTCCACTGATTCCCCTCACTTGAGCTTCATTTCTCATTTCCAAGTGTCTGACAGACACTTCAGCTATCCTGCCAGCCTCTCAAATTTTGTGTGTCTAAAAAAAGGAGTAGAGGTCACCGTTTTCCTTCTAGTCTCAGCATGGATAGAGAAAGCAAGGAAGCAGTTCAACCCAGGATTATCTTCCTTATTCCTATCACCGTGGTACCACTTTTCTCAGTGTTGCCAGAGTACAAATCTGCACATAGTACCCTGCCCAATTTTGGGCGGTCTGGAAGTCGGTTGTTTCTTCTCACTTTACAATGTCCCGGAAACCGTTCCTTCTTTCCATTTTCTCTGCCACCCATTATCACCAAAAAATAGAACTGCATAGCCTCACAATCTGTCTACCCTCTAGTGTCTTTTCCCTACCATTTTATATACAGGTTAATTTTCCTAAAATCCCACTACGACTGTATTCCCTACTGTAACACTCTGCTGGTGTTTCAACTCCTGCGAATAAAATCCACTTCTTAGTCTGGTATTTCAAATCCTCTGTAATCATTTCCAATACGTCTAAAATGACTTCCTACCACTCTTTTAGATGCCCTTGGGCCAACCCTCAGTAACCTTTCTCATTCCTCTCTTATTTCTGCACGATTTCCAAGCCCTAAACATGCTCCCTGTGTCCCAGTTCCACCTATCCAAACTGTGCTCATTCACTGAACAATTACTAAGTAATACATGCCAGGAGACAAGGTGTCCATTTCCCCCAGAATCTTCTCTTTTGTATCCTCAGTATAGTCTTTCCTTCTTCTAAACTCTAAAAACAGAAACTGCTTACTCAGCATATTTGCAGCACAATACCATAATGCGTAAATGATGTTTCTATTTGTTCATCTCTTCCTCCACCCACCCCATCCTCCTCAGCTACCATGCACCCTTGAAGGCAGTAAACATGTTTTACATATACTTGCTGTGGTTGGCTATGTTAGTTGGCATCTGCTGAAAAGCAGAGGTCAAGACACGCTTAGATGTGCAAGAGAACTGGGAAAGGGAGGAGAAGGTGGGGAGAGCTTTCAGATCCTGATGTAGGTCTGACACCTGCAGGACAGAGGAGAGGCAGGAGGACTGGGTAGGAAGTCTTGGACTGTAGCACAAGTTCCAAGAAGGGCTCAGCCAGGCCAGTGAGGAGTTGGACCAAAGGCACCCACTGGCAGAGTCCTGTATCTTGTTGGAATAAACCTGACTTTGTATTCCTGCTCTGCTTGGGCACTAACAGCCAGGAAAGTGTGGCTTCGAGGGAAATCCATGTACCCAGGGAGATAGGAGAGCTCAGCCGATATCTGATGGCTGGCACAGCATAGGGTCTGGCACAAGTATTATTGTTAATGTATGTTAAATGAATGTCTAGTAGGTATTTAATGAAAGGAAAGTTAACAGAATCAAGGAAAATTAAATCAAAAGCAATATTATGTTGCTTGAAACTGAGCAAATTCAGCACATGAAAATCTGGATTTGTAAGACATTAGGAAAAGATTAGATTTTTGAAAGACAAATCACTAGAAGAGGGGTCAGTAAACTTTTTCGAAAAAGGGTCATATAGTAAACATTTTAGGCTTTGTGGGCCCCATGATCTGTGTTACAACTACTCTACTTTGCGGCTATGGGGGGAAAGCAGCCACAATAAAGCACATGAACGAGTGTAGCTGTGGTCAAATAGAACTTTACTTACATAAATAGGCAGTGGGCCCTTCTGACCCATGGACTATACTTTGCTGACCTCTGCACTAGAGGATTTAAATATAAGTACATTTAAAAATACACGTATAATTTACTTCTAATTTTTGTAGAACACAGACTATGTAAAGCGAGAAATCTGTCAAATCACCTGGATTTTTCCAAAAAAGAAAGTTATCCTACTGAAAAGAGCAACATTGCCTTGAGTTAAATCAAATGGAGAGCCATTAACACTTTAGGAGATTAGGGAATTTACAGACTGAAGTAACAGAATGTCACTACTGGTATCTATTTCGTACTTAAAGCATATTACTTGATTTCTAATTAACAACTAAGAATTTGCACTGCAATTACTCTAGAGCAGTACTTTTCATGACCCATAGTGCTGTAAAATAAACTTACGGGGCCATGACCAACATCAAAAAAAAGAAGACACGCAACAGAAAATATCACTGGATACTGTGTGTGGCAAGGGTTAACTATGGTTATGAAACTTGTATTTTATACATTATGATTAAAATACAGTTTTCTGAAGGCTGGAATAAAACAAGCTGGAAAAGCGTGGCTCTATTATGCAACCACTACTATTCACTGCCTGTCAATGGCACACGTGAGGAGGCAAGTATTCCTCCAGGCTCCTATAATCTCTCCTTGTATTAGAGTATGAAAACACGTCAGCCTGGTTTTCTGTGGTTGAACATTATTAAGATACAACATGAAGAAGGTCTACGCATCTGCAGAAGAACAATTTTTCAGGGCACACTGTATCTCAGTTTCTTTGTTTCCCTGCCTCTCCTCCTCCTCCCTCCATGTCCTAAGAACTGTGTCATAAATTCAATCAGAGTAAGTCTCCCTTTCTTTGAGAACCCTTGTCATAAACAAGTTGGTGGAAAAAGTCTGTTTCCCCTAATTAACTCCCTTTTGACAGTGACTATTTACTGGAACAGGATAGTTATTTAAAAGTACTAATTATTGCCAAATATTTTATATTTGGCAAATATTTTAGAAACCTAATACTCCACATATCATTTTTACGTAACAGGTCAACTTGTATTTTATTTGGAGCCAAATGCACACGATTTTTCCCTTTTTTAGCTTGGTTACCAAGAAGTCAGGACTAAATTTGACATTTGAGTAATTGTTTAATCAGTTCTGCTTTTTAACACAATAATCTTTTTCTCTACAGGGCTTCTGATCTCTTTCAATTATCCTATATATGCCCATTATAAAATGTCAATTAAATTTGTATAGTTGAACTCCTTAAATCCTTTCTTGAAGTAGGATTTAGATTGTATATCATAAATAGTAAATATAGTAGTCAAATGACCTTACTGTACAATTTAAATGTAAAGTGGTTTTCCACATGATAGCAATAGACTTGAGGGCAACACGACAAAAACTGTGCTAAGGACAAACTATCTTTTTTCCTCTTAAACTTTTAGCAGTGAACTATTCTGAAAGATGGTATTTTTTTCATCTTTTGCCCTGAATGAACTCTTGGAGGACCTGGATGTTCATATGAATTTTTTCTCTTTTTGTTCCTGCCCTCCACTACCATAATATAATTTTAGAATTTGAAAAATAACAATTAAAATTAGCCAAATACATAACAGAATCCCCCCCCATACTAATTACGTAATGAACCACAAAGCTTACCTTCTCACAGGTCTCAGGTGGCAAAACATTTCTGAATATATATGTACATCAACTCCCAGGCATCCATTAATCACTTAAAAAGTTAAGCAGATACAAGTGATGAACAAGTGGAATTTGAAATTAAAACATTTCCATTTATATTAGCACCCCCCAAAATGAAATGCTTACCTATAAATCTAACAAAATATGTACAAGATCTAAATGAGTAAAACTACAAAAATGATGAATGAAATCAAAGAAGAATTAAATAAATAGAGAGATATCCGAAGACTCAATAGTGTCAAGATGTCAGCACTTTCCAATTTAATCTATAGGACAACAGATTGAATCTATAGATTCTGAGCAATCCCAATCAAAACTCCAGTAAGTTATTTTATAGATACTAACTCAGGTAAAAGACTCAGAATAGCCAACTCAATCAATATTGAGTTGAAAAACAAAGTTGGATGACACTACCTGACTTCAAGACTTACTATAAAGCTATAGCAATCAAGACAGTGTGGTTTTGGTAAAAGAACAGACAAATAGATCAATGGAACAGAACAGAGAGTCCAGAAATAGATCCACATTAGTCAACTGATCTTTAGAGCAAAGATAGTCTTTTCAACAAATGGTGCTAGAACAACTGGACATTGACATGCAAATAAATTAATCTAGTCAAAGACCTTACACCCTTCACAAAAATTAACTCAAAATGGATCACAGACTTAAATGTAAATCACAAAACTATAAAACTCCTAGAAGATAACATTGAGAAAAAACCTAGATGACTTTGGGTATGTTGATGACTCTTTAGATACAAAACCAAAGGCATGATCCATGAAAAAAAGAATTGATAAAGTGAACTTCATTAAAATTAAAAACTTGTGCTCTGCAAAAGACAATGAGAAGACAAACCACACACTGGGAAGAAATATTTGCAAAAGATACACATATCTGAAAAAGGGCTGTTATCCAAAATACACACAAAAAAATCTTTAAACTCAACAAGAAGAAAATGAACAACCTGATTAAAGAAAGGGCAAATTGTGTCCTTTGTTACTTTAAATATATTGAGATATTTAATTACAAATTTTACCCAACTGAACAAATTTTATAGTATTTCTATCTATTTTGGTGTTTTGTCTTTATAGTAAATAAAGTTTTTGAACAAAGAAAAAAAAATGGACCAAAGACCTGAATAGATACCTCATAAAATAAGATATACAGATGGTAAATAATCATATGAAAAGATGTTCAACATGACATATCATTAGCGAATTGCAAATTAAAACAACAATGAAATACTACTACACAGCTATTAGAATGGCCAAAATTCAGAACACTGACACCGCCAAATGCTGATGAGAGCAACAGGAACTCTTACTCACTGCTGGTGGGAATGCAAAATGGCACAGCCACTTTGAAGGACAGTATGACAGTTCCTTACAAAACTAAACATACTTTTACCATATGATCCAGCAATCACACTCCTTGGTACTTACCCAAAGGAACTGAAAACTCTGTTTATATAGAAACCTGCATACAGATGTTTATTTTTTTTAATTTTTAAAAAAGATTTTATTTATTTATTTGTCTGGGAGGAGGTGCACAAGCAGGGGGAGTGGCAGGCAGAGCAAGAAGCAAGCTCCCCGCTGAGCAAGGAGCCCGATGTGGGACTCGATCCCAGGGTCCTGGGGATCATGACCTGAGCCAAAGGCTTAACCAACTGAGCCACACAGACGTCCCCACACAGATGTTTACAGAAGTTTTATTCATAATTGCCAAAACTTGGGAGCAACCAAGATGTTCTTCAATAGGTGAATGGATAAATAAACTGCGGTATATCTAAACAATGGATTATTATTCAGTGCTAAAAACAAAAGTGCCATCAAGCCATGAAAAGACAAGGAAGAAGCTTCGAAAGCTGTAGTAATTAAAACAGTATGATACTGGCGTAAAAACAGACATTTAGATTAATGGGACAGAATACAGAGCCCCAAAATAAATCTATGCATATTATGGTTAATTAATTTATGACAAAAGGAGTCAAGAATACACCATGGGGAAAGGACAGTCTCTTCAAGAAATAATGCTGGGAAAATTGGGACAGCCATATACAAAAGAAGGAAACTGGACCTCTTGTCTTACACCAGACACAACACCAGACACAAAAATTAATTCAAAATGGATTAAAGACTTCAACATAAGACCTAAAAGCATAAAACTCCTAGAAGAAAACAAAAAGTGGCCAGCTCTTTAAAATAGGTCTTGGCAATGATTTTTTTTTTGAATCTGATACCAAAAGCAAAAGTAACTAAAGCAAAAATAAACAATTAGGACTATATCAAACTCAAAAGGTTTTGCACAGCAAAGGAAACCATCAACAAAATGAAAAGGCAACCTACTGAATGGGAGAAAATAATTGCAAATCATATATCCGATAAGGAGCCAATATCCAAAACATATAAAGAACTCAACTCAATAGCAAACAAACAATCTGATTAAAAAATGGGCAGAAGATCTGAATGGACATTTTTCTAAAGAAAACACACAGAATGGCCAACAGACATATGAAAAGATGTTCAGCCTCACTAATTATCAGGGAAATGCAAATGAAAACTACAATGAGATATCACTTCACACTCTTTAGAATGGTTATTATCAAAAAGACAAAAGAAATAACAAGGGTTGGTGAGGATGTGGAGAAAAGGAAACCCTTGTACAGTGTTGTGGGAATGTAAGTTGGTGTGACCACTATGGAAAACAGTATGGAGGTTCCTCAAAAAAATTAAAGAGTGAACTACCAACAATTCCTTCTGGGTATTTATCCAAAGAAAACAAAACCACTAATTTGAAAAGATACATGCACCCCCATGTTCTTGCAGCATTCTTCACAATAGCCCAGATACGGACACAACCTAAGTGTCCATTGATGAATGAATGGATAAAGAAGATGTGGTATGTGTATATATATCACACACACACAATTGAATATTATTCAGCCATATAAAAGAATGAAATCTTGCCATTTGCAACAACATAGATGGATCTCAGGGACAATATGCTAAGTGAAATAAGTCAGACAAAGGAAGACAAATACTACATGATCTCTCTTTTATGTGCGATCTAAAAAACAAACAAACAAAAACAAAATTAAAAAACCCACCAAGCTCACAGATACAGAGAACAGACTGGTGGATGCAAAAGGAGGGGTGGGGGTTGAAGGGAAGAAATGAGTGAACTGTCCTTTTTTAGTTTAAATAAAGCAATATAAATTTTTAAAAAGTTTAAAAAAGATAAAGAAATGAGCTTTCAAGCCACAAAAAGACATGGAGAAAACTTAAATGCAAATTACTAAGTGACAGAAGCCAATCTGCAAAGATTATATACTATATGATTCCAACTACACAATATTCTGGAAAAGGCAAACTATGGAGACAGTCAAAAGTTCAGTGGTTGTCAGGGGTTGCACGGAGAGAGGGATGAACAGCTGGAGCACAGAGGATTTTTAGAGCAGTGAAACTACTCTCTATACTACCATGGTGGATACATATCATTATACTTTTGTCAAAGTCCATGGAATATACAATACCAAGAGTGAACCCTAATGTAAGCTGTGGATTTTGGGTGATAATGATGTGTCACTGTAGGTTCATGAATTATAAACAAATGTCCCATGCAGGGTGTGGAAGACTGTGTATCAGGAACAGGGTGTATATGGGAACTCTATACTTTACTTTGCTGTGAACCTAAAACTGCTCTAAAAAAGTTTTATTTTTTAAAAAAAGTTAAGCAGATAAATGGGGGAAGAGATTTTAATTACATGAACTTTTCCAATTTAGATTTTAGGAAGATCTTCAACTACAGTATGGTATCCATGTCAACTGACAAAGTGATTTTAAAAAAAATCCTATGAGAAAAAAATCCTAAAAGTAGTCCCTAAATAAATCTTGAAATGCCAAATAATTCACACAATGATCACCAGGTAAAAAATTATTTTTCCCTTTATTATCAAGCTCTTAAACTTTCTCACTTTCCATTATTCCACTCTTCTAGAGATCTGTTCAGCAGCATACTCTCTCAAAACAAACCACTAGATGTCTAAAATCATATTCTGTCAAAGCTTGAGCATTAAGTATGGTTAAAAAAATATTCTCATGAGAGGTGCCTGGGTGACTCGGTTAAGTGTCCGACTCTTGATTTCAGCTCAGGTCATGATCTCAGGTCATGATCCAGCCCCGTGTTGGGCTCCCTGCTGGGCGTGGAGCCTGCTTCTCTCTTTCCCTCTTCCTCTGTCCATTCCCCCCCTCCACCTTCAAAAAAAAAAATATTTTCATGATATAGTTAATATACCCAAGCCAAGATAATGTAATGAAGCATAACTGCCATTAACAGAATAACAGATTTTAAAGACAAATCAAGATATTCAAACAACAATGGATACTTTATTTTCTGGCTGACTGGTGGGGCAAGTCATATGCATACTGGGATGCATGTGTTTAGAGGTATTTATTTAAATGTTTAAAAAGGTGATTTTATTTAACCATTTACCTTTATAATTTGTTTGAGACAAATACACAGATACAGGAAATACTGCTATCATTTTGAAGAGTGGAGATCAAATGGAGATGCATTGAGGAAAGAAAACCATTTGGACTATCTAAATAAAGGTTCAATGTAATCTGTGATGGACTGAATTCTCACCAAATTTCTTCAAGAAATAACCAGAATAATCTTAATCTTAGTTAAGATAGCACAGATATAAGGCTCAAAGTTTGCAAAGAAAAGACTAGAAGGATATACAGATGCAATCCCTAACTGGCTATCTCTAGGTAGTAGGATATTAAGTGATTTAATTTTTTTAATTTCCTAGTTTATTTACAATGAACATGTGACATACCTTCTTAAATTTTTTTTTTTAAATCAATGCTTTTAGCATTCAAATTAAATGAAGAAAATGTATATAGTAGGAAGGAGTGTTGTTCACTTGGTATTTAAGACAGGACCCTATCTCTCTGGGATATCTGTCCAAAGACAGTCCTAGACTATAGTCCCAATTTAGCTCAAGAAGAAACAGCTTGCC